TTAATTATTATCTTTGGGGGATATTTCAGTTTATATTCTAATCATCATCTTGGTATTAATGGAAGTTTTAGTAAGTATATATTACTTTACCAGTTTAAAAAAACATATATTAAAATGTAAATACTTTAACAAAATTGAGGTCATCTGATACTTACTATTTTATTACCTGATTCTTTTTTAAAATTTTATAATATATTAATATCTTTTCAACATGACCATTTTGGCACGATCCCAGTAGTAGTACTTGGGTATATCTTGTGTGGGCAAAACCAGACTTCCTTTCGCCCCCTATTTTGGTGGAAAATATACTCCAGTGTACTATTTCAGTCATCCAAACATACCGGGGAAAACCTTATCCTAGAAAGTGGATGCCGACTTTGGACTGTGAAGCAGAATGCAAGGAGTCCACAGTGTTATGTAGATGGAAGGAGTAGTTTTAATTCCCTCCAGGGAGCCTAAGAATCCCGTTTGTTTAATGATCCACAAAGTCAAGGCCAATCTAGCCGGAAACTCCTATACAGCAGTGACAAAGGCTCCACATGTCACCTCCCCCCACTGCAGGAGCCACTGCCAATTAATCACAGCACTTTGACCTGGAAGTGGCCTCCCAAATTCTTCTCAACACAAACTTTCTGGCAGCTACCGTCATTTCACCATTGTTATCCGCTAGGAAGCCTACTTTCCATTCTTGCTGATATCCTTATCCCAGCTGAAGAAACAGCAGATTCTGCTAGAACTGACCTCCTCATCAGGAAGAAAGCCAAATATTGCAGAACTCGTCAGCTGATAAAGTACATGTATGACTTTACAGTATTATCTCCCAGATGTTTCCAAGATGAAAGATACAGCATTTAATGGGCTCTGAAGGCTAAACTGCATTACCATCTCATTTCAATCTCTGTGATTGATGCTGAGAAGCCAATGCTAGTGACCTGGTCAGTGAGATCTTGTCCCATCAGAGGATTTGGCTTTAGGTCCTAAGTCTACACTGAGCCATCGTTTTATCAAAAATCACCCAATACTAGTACTCATCCCAGTGCTCTGGCATTGCATAGACTCCAGCCTAGCATGGTATACTGGCGGAGGGGGGGGGGATTGGGGCATGAACAAGGGGTTCCTTCCTTTTCTCTAGCCTCACAATCACATGCATATAATTGCCAAGTCAATTTCTATTATTCAGTTAAATGGAAACTTTATGTATGAACTTACTAGTCTGCAACCTTTGAAGGATGCTGAGATTGATTTTTAAAATGAAAAACTTGATCTTATCAGTGCCTTTTGAACTAGAAATGGGGTTACCAGGCCACCATCTTGTGGAAATTAAATCAGCACAAATAGATGTGGAGCAGGGCAAACGTCATAACTCCCAGGATTTCCTTAAAAAGTCATGTTAACTACATTTGACCTCTATAACTGTTTTTGGCTTCTGCTTTTTGTTTTTAGTCAAAAACATGCACTTCATTCACATCTTTATAGAACAGAGAGAAAATGCTCAAGTTTATAGCTTTTTGCATAATAGCGTGATTCAGCTGGGCATTTAAGAAAATGAGTTGTCATACACACTTATGATTTAAAGGCAAATGTCCTCTAATTGAACTTGATGAACTGAACCTTAACTGAACTTGATGAATTGATTTCTGCTGACCATGATTTCAGGTGACGTTATCGTTGTCTAAGTTTGCTAGTTTATGATTATCGCCATAGCCTCTTTCTATACTCAACAAAAGTCATGTTGTTTTGAGCATTGTATGTTTTCTAATTTAAACTGCTCTACCAAGAGCATGTTGCAAGCACAGGAGTATTGTATCAGAAGTTTCTGTATCTTGAAACTGGAATGTGGGGTGATTCATGAATTTTGCATCAGTTATTAAACAGTCATAGATGAAGCTATGCAGAGATGGATAGGGCAGTAAAATACTCTGGTTACACCTACTGGCTTAGCCATGATAAATGAATGAGTCAGGAAACATAAAAGTTCAAAACAGGTATTAACTTGACCTGCAATGCATATGTTCTGAAGGGAAGCACTCAGTAGCCAGATATAAGCAACCCAATATACAGACCACCTGCCTGGCAGGGTTAAAATAAAAGCAAGGACTTGGCAACAGACTAAGGAATTTCAGAATCCTGCCATGCCAGTCAACCTTTCTCTGACAAGGTTCTTGAGGGAGACATAGCACAAACAATGATAACGCTTGGAAAACGAAGGAGGTATTTTTATAGCTGGGACCATGCCTGTTATCCCATAGTGCAAAGTTCTAATAATACTGCCTTGGATCATGTGGCTTGGACTTGAGCTTGAATCCTACCTTGATTTGACCTGTGTGCATCTTAAAGAGAGAGTGAAGACATTTTCAGAGTCCAGGCAAAAAGACAGTATGGATGTCGTCCCTGGGAGACTGAATTTTGTTTCCCTTGGAATGGCATTTTCTTGGAAACTGAGCCAGAGGCTGATCTTGGAAAGAGCTACTTACCTCTTCCTTCCAATACTCAATGTCACCAAAAGGGAAGACCCATCACTTTCTTGTCAGTGCACTAGCCCTGGAACCCACCTAGAGCTCCAGCATCTGTGTTCACACAGCTGCTGAGAGGAAGGGCTTCAGCTGCCCTTAAGTAGAATCTTAGCCCTAAAGACACGAGTATGGCACTGTTAACCCCCAGGCCTGGTCTCCTCACCACCTTCTCATCGCTCCTTACTTCTCTTTCTCGACTCATTTTTTAGTACCTGACAGAAGCCTGGAAGTGAAAAGAAATAGCCATGCCTGCTTTAGGCTCTCCCCCCAAAGCCAGGAAGCTTTGTGAATAACCCCATGGCTAGCCACTCATTGAAAAGCCAGAAGCAGGAACTAATGTTAAAAGTGTATCCTAGCACTCGAGTGCTTTTCAACCAGGGCGTTCTGAGGCGACTGCAAATATTAAACTGCCTTCTTGTCTCCTCTGTACACGAGAGTGCTTTGCTAAGACACTCAAACTCTAAAAAAGGAAAGTGGCCGATAATTCACTCCGGGTGGCCGGCTTCCCAGCTTTGCTGGGCTTGCATGTTCCTCTTTGGGCACTTATTCTAGAAATGGGCCTTCTAAACTTACTTCAGGAGCTGAGTAGCCATGCAGCTTACTTTGTGCTTCCTTCAGGTAGTATTCATTTGTAGGGGTCTTCTTGAGCGAATGGATGGGATGTCCAGTTGAGATTGTCAGTTAAGGAATGGGGTGGCCTTTTCTGAAGGCAGACTCTAGAGACTAGAAGTCAGAAGCTGGTGACCCACAAACCATTTTCAGCTGATAGACAAGATTATATATTTTTTAATGTCATGGCACTGAACAAAATAATTGGTTGCCAATACGTAAAACTTAAGCGATTTTGCATAGAACTCTGGATTTCCAGCTTCTTTTTTTTAAAAAAAAATCAGAATATCTGGCAACACAGGTAATATTTCATAGTCACAGTTGGCTTAAACTGAGTAGCCACTTGTCTTTTAAGAGGGAACACAAACTTGCTATTTCTCTCCACATCCCCTCGTGCGTGGCCCTGTAGGATTTGAATCTGCTACCACTGGGGTCAGTTATCTAAGATGCCAAAACAGAGATCATGAATTATTCTTTTAAATGTGCCTGGCTTGCAAGTGCCTATGGTTTATGCCTTATTCTTTTTCCTTCTGCACAAAGAATGACCATTCGAAGCTTTTTCATATATGGAAAAGGACAGTTAGAGGCAAAGTGGAGAATTTTACACTACTTACCTGAACCAATCAGGCATATAAAGAAAATCCTGAAATGATGATATTAAAGTAAGATTTGAGATTTGAAGTATTCAGGGGTAATTGCCTTAGTTTTCCACCTCACTGTTTCCCCTTTGCTTTCCTTACACGGACATAATCTTCAGAATGTACTTCTGTCAAAGGCCACAGTCATAATTCCCCTGCTTCCTTCTTTTTTTTTTTTTTTTTTTTTTTTTAAACTCATTTGCACTCTCGGTAGCAATTGTTGGAGCCCTGCAGGGGAATAATTGCAGAGGAATTAACCTCTGACATTTTTCTAAAAATAGCCCTAATAAATCTAATCATAGGTAATTTACCTGTCCCTGTTCCTCGGGGGGTAACCAGCATTGAAGAAAGACTTGGCAGGCTGGCATTCCTTCAGCAATTATCTGTGAGCTGAGTTCCTGATGCCTGTGTATTTTCTCTGTTTAGAAATACAGAGTACAAGAGGGAGGGGATATAGATGTACGTATAGCTGATTCACACCATTATACAGCAGAAATTAACACAACATTGTAAAGCAATTATACTCCAATAAAAAAAATACACTTAAAAAAAAAGAAATACAGAGTACAAATTTCTCTCTTCCCTCTGACCTCGTGACCCTGTTTTCTCAGCACCTTTCTCCTGGGGTTGCAGTAAGGCCCTACTCTTCCAGAAGGGTGTGTTCGGCTCACCAGAAAAGAGGGAGCATTTGTGGGGTCCCTCCTTGAATTTCCAGCTCCTGGAGATTTCCCGACGATTCCTCTGTGATCTGCCCCTTTGTTTTCGGTGTCTGAGCTTCAAGCATCTCACCCCTTCTTCCTCAGTCTTCAGCCCTCATTTGGATTCCACAACTGAAACTCATTTGGGGAAGTTTCTGGGTGTAGAAGAAAGGGGAATGCAGAAGGACACGGGTGGGAAAAGAGCCTGTGGTTGGTAGAAATTATCGAAGAAAATTGCCATTTCCCTGAGGCTTAAAGAAATTCATTTTCTCTTGCCCAAAACAAAAGGGTCTGAATGTGCTTTTTCCTTTTGTTCTCTCCAGTTGTTCCTAGAGACCACAGTGCAGGGTGGGCATCTAGGAAATTTACTTTCCCAAGTGCCACTTCTAGTGGCACTTAAAATACAGAGCACAGAATCCTTGTAAATTCCACTGCAGAGACAAAGCCCTAAGCCCTTAAATGCACAGAAAAGTATGTCTATTAGCTATCGTTTCAAAGTAAGTGTGCAGTTACTTAAATTGCCTTTGTCTTCTTTTTTTCAGCTGACATTATCTCTACAGTAGAATTCAACCACACGGGAGAATTACTAGCGACAGGGGACAAGGGGGGTCGGGTTGTAATATTTCAACGAGAGCAGGAGGTAAGTGGCAGTGAATGCAAAATATCCATTTTCTTCTTTTAAAGAAGGCCTCCCACTGTTCCTTAATCCTCATGTGTTGCCCTTAACCTTGCTGCTTGGCTTGCAAACTAAAAGTGCCCCAAAATCATTAACATCAGTAGTTACACACTCAGGCTCACAAAAGCACGGGAAAATAGAGCCTTTTCTGGGCAAGGTCTCATCTTTCCAAACCTGGGTATTGCACATTCAAAACGACCTCACTTCTCATCTGACCTGCAAAATTCCACGGGTGCTTGTTGAGTGTAACGCCTCCTTTTTCAGTGGGGTTTATCCTCCTCCAGCTGTTGAAATTCAGGGACTCCTAACAGAATACCTAGGATAAAAAATATAACCCTTCCCCAACAGATATGAAAAGGATAACTTGGGTCAGAAGAGAATACATACAATTTACAGGCATACTTCAGAGATATCGTGGGCTCAGTTCCAGGCCACCGCAATAAAGGGAATATCACAATAAAGCAAGTCACACCAATTTTGTGATTTCCCAGTGCATATAAAAGTTATATTTACACTATACTGTGGTCTGTTAAGTATGCAGTAGCATTATGTCTAAAAAAACAACGTGCATACCTTAATTAAAAATACTTTATTGCTAACCATAGAAAAAGAAGAAAACGGTAGTTCCCCCTACCAAAGGGAGTGAAATCCCAGAAAATGCCATCTGAGCAATGCATGTAGCCCACACTTTACTATAGGTGACACGAAGTTCCCTGCAGCTGAATGCTCTATGCATTCTGAGCAGCAGTTCTAACTCCCAGTGAATCTCGAAAAGTCCATTTCTTCCTGAGACTTGGGTTCCACTAGGAATTGTTTCTCTTTTTCATATAAATTGAGTTTTTTGGTGTCTGCTTCTGTTCTGTCAGAATGAAATTATGGCCCAATTTGATTTCCTTGGCCTCTGCCGGCGTGGTCCTGAAGCTTCCAGCAGGCCAGTCTGTGTTCAAGTAACTCTCCCATCTGCTACTGCCTGCCTCAGAGATTCACCCGGCACAGCGTAGCAGGAGGGCCCAGTGCAGGAGGGAGGTTTCACAAGAGACTTCCCTAGCAATTTAAAGCCTGCTTTGTGCCTCAAAGTCATTTGTGTTCCACCTCCCCTCCAAAAAGGAAAGCCTCATTTAGAGGTGATATATTTGGTAATTGCACATTATTTGCAATTAATTTCTATAAGGGCATCGTAATCCCTCGGGGTTCTGTATGAATTCAAGTGTTCAGCATTAAATCAGGCACCCAGCCTATTCCATTGGCCCTGGAAACACGAAAATGTTGTTGGCAAGTAGGAACTAATAGCTCTTCGTGACCTGGAATTTTTCCTGCTTTTCCGGAGCTGCCTAGTGCTAATTGGTCTGGCACATCCTACACACACTTGACAGTCTGATTTGGATGGTAGCAAATCAACACTCGTAAAAATTTATTTTTCAGGTGAACTAGCTCTCTCTGCAGTGAACAGGATAGGAGCGAGTATGTCAGCCTTTAAAGTCCTTTTAAAATTGATTTTCAAACATTCTTCAGTTTTTTAAAAAATCCAATTAGGTTCATAGTGATGATAAAGGGAAACCAGAGGAGCTGTTTAGCATAAATTACCCAAGGCAGGGTGTTGCCAGTAATATTCCGCTCCGTGTTTCCCATTAGGTATTTATAGCTTTCACCTATTTTAATTTACTGAAATATTTGGGGAGCCTGATTCATTAGTAGCAAGAAGGGGGACGCATTTTCCAAAGGAGGGTGGTTTTGTTCAATAAGGAATAAATGTTGAGGATAATAGCCTGCAGTTAAATGTTGAGCTTTGCGGTGAGACTTGGGGTTGAATGAACACTGAGCTTGAGAAACACAGCCATGTGACAACATCTAGGTCAGGCCTCCTTTTGATTCCCGTGGGTGGCTCCTGTGCGTGAATCCTCAAGATGTGCTGTCCTGGAAAATTTGTTCAAGGAACCTCAGTGCCCTCGCAGGCACATTTAACATCTGGGTATCAGTACCATGACCCATCAGTAAATTGAGGCTTGGGTTTGAATGTTCAGTATCTACCCAGAGGTAAAATTTTCTTAATTGAGCCTTTTATTAAGAGTCAAGCACTTATGACAAATGCCTAGCAAGACCTGGATTTGAATTTTTGAACACAGTTTTCCGAAGCCTGAATCTTGAGGCTCTTGGTCACTAAGGTGCAAAAAGCTCTCCTGCTCCCTCTCCCTTCTTCCCTGTCTCTCTTTCACACCATCTTTTCCTCCTATCCACCTTTCTTCTTTCTCTCGTCCCTTTCTGCACACCCTTCCTTTATGTTTTGTTCCCTCACCATTTATTTAGTTCCTGCTGTGTGCACTTTGCATAATCAGCGCTGGGGGAAAGCCAGTGTAAAGTCTCACGGTTCTCCTAATGATTCACATGTCATCTCTGCACTCATTCATGTTGGAAAAAAGAGAGGGAGAGATCCACTGCTTATAAGCTGTGTGACCTCTGAGAAGTCATTTTAATTTCTGTGAGCCTCTTTTGTTCATTTCCCTGCTCTGTGCACCTCTCAGAGGTTCTATGAAGATCTGATGAGATTTTAAAAGGCCAGTGAAAGGTGCCGATGCTATAGCTTTGTGTTCTTGTTAAAGGATTGCTACACGTCTGTATGGACATCAGCGTGGGATGACTCACTCCTAAGGGTGTCCAAGACATGCAGCAGTTTATGTATATACTTTATAAGTAAAACGTTGTAAATATTGAAGGTGCCAGTATTTGCCACCAGGGGGGCATGATCAACAGCATGAGGGCACTGAGCTAAGGAGGAACCCATGGCCGTCGTAGTCCTGCCCTCAGCCCACTTGGACACGGCCTGCCCGTCTCACCCCTCATGACTCTACTCCAAAAAAGGAAGGAACTGGTGAATTTGCAGTTGGCTTATGTGATTTAATCTTTCATGTGACTTTTTTTCCCCTTCCTACAGAGTAAAAATCAGGTTCATCGTAGGGGTGAATACAATGTTTACAGCACATTCCAGAGCCATGAACCCGAGTTCGATTACCTGAAGAGTTTAGAAATAGAAGAAAAAATCAATAAAATAAGATGGCTCCCTCAGCAGAATGCAGCCTACTTCCTTCTGTCTACTAATGGTATGTGGATGTGACTTGTCTTGTTTGGTATTTTCAGAGATACAGTCAGCAAACCATATATTTCAATCTCTTTTAGCCTCCATTTTCCTTTTTACCTTGCAGGCTGTTGAAAAACTTAGAAACCGTATTTGCAAGATGCCTAGCAGAATGCCTGGCAGAGACTAGGCCCTCAGTAAATAGTACTTATTCTTTTTTAAAAATAACAACTTTATGGTCGAATTATGTGAGACTTGTTATCTGTAGTTTTTGACTAATGTAGATTATTTCTAGGTGTTTTTGGAATGTGACTTCCTGTCTAAAGATTTACTGAATGTTATTCTGGGAACACATTTCAGGAAACTAAACATGCCGTCCCTGTGTGTTTGGCATACTCAGTAGAAGTTATTAATCCCTGAATATATTTGGGGGTTTGGAAAGCAGATGTCCTTGTCTGACACAATCAAGCTCTCTAGTAGAAACATAGGTCAGGAAGAGAGAGGACCCCATCAAAAAACTGATCAAGTAATGGTTTCTTCTCTTTCTCCCTTCTCCCTTCATACTCTTCTTATATCATTTGTTGGTTTAGGGAGAGTTGAAATAAATAGGTCAGAGAGAGAGAATGTTAGGGGTTGAACACGGAAGCCGATTCCGTATTAATCTGTAAACCTTTACACAGTGGAATTACCAACCCTAAAACTTCTTAATACCCTTGCCGTGAAAGAAGCCATCTACACTCGAAACAACTCAGAATAAAATCATATACGAAAGGGTGCTAATTGAATAGCATAACAATTAGAGGATTAATATATACAAATTAAACACCATCTCCCAAGCAAATAAGCTGGTGAGTGATTCATTTCATCATCCTGTGTGTGTGTGTCTTTGAGGAGTACACTTTTAAGTATAAATCAAGAAACAAGGGGTTTGCTTTCTGCCTATCTCCAACATTTATTAAGAAAGGGTAATGCTCATATGTCAAGTTAAAAAAAATGCAGACTCTGTATATACTACGATCAAACATATATTAACATTTTTAAAGATTGAAAGGAAACACACTGAAAGGTTTATCATGATTAATTTTGACTATGCATTATGGGTGACTTGTCAATTTATTCCTTAAATTCCCCCCCTGTTTTTCATAAGATTAAAATATAACTCATTGTAAAAACTTAGAAAATAAAAACTTATTGAAGGGGGGGGGGGGGGGGAGAGTTTTTAATGCATATGAACCAAAAAAATCCCTCAAATGAAAAAACCAGTGTATAAATCTATAAAGTAAGAGTTCTGAAATAGCCAGTTTAGGGTTATTCAAGCACAGCTTATCTCAACATGACCAGATCTCCACTCATCTGTTTTTCCAGATTCCAAGTAATTTAATTTTTTTCTCATTTATTGTTTTGTTTACTTTTGTTTTTGTTTTTGTTTTTGTTTTTGTTTTTCCGGTACGCGGGCCTCTCACTGTTGTGGCCTCTCCCGTTGCGGAGCACAGGCTCCGGACGCACAGCCCCAGCGGCCATGGCTCACGGGCCCAGCCGCTCCGCGGCATGCGGGATCCTCCCGGACCGGGACACGAACCCGGGTCCCCTGCATCGGCAGGCGGACTCTCAACCACTGCGCCACCAGGGAAGCCCCTGTTTACTTTTTTTGATCTGGATTTCCCAAAAGTCAAGCCACATGAATTTGTTTCAGTCTCTTCCCTTTTAGTTTTAAGTTTCCCTCAAAGGCTCAGCAGATTCAATACAACTTAGAATGGAAGAAACTTCTAATATTTAGACTTAATTACTTTAGGCAGAGAAAAAGCATCTGATTATCTTCTATAGCTAGTTTACTTTATGTTATGAAATTTAGCCTATTGATTATTACAATAAATTTCAAAGACATAAAAGACATATTAACTACTTTGTGGGGGGGATGGGAAAGAAATCAGTGAAATGCAATGAAGATTAATTATATAGCATAATGTTCTGTTAATTGAGTTTTTAAATAGTTTTTTGATTAACAAGGATATTATCTTCCCATTTGGGATGCTATTTCATATGCCAACAGCATCTCAAAATGATTCTTAGAAGAAAAATTCCCATGCTGATATGTGACTTTCTTTTTTATACTAATATTGAGGTTGAGAATCCCCCTTAAGCCAAATAGGTTAACATGCAAAAATTAATGGAAGACAATTGGAATTACTGTACAAAAGAGAAAATGAAGATAGATGATAAGATTGTGTTTAAAAGCTGCCACCAGTAATGATAAACTACTCAGAGAGCCAGCCAGAAGAAAGAAAAAGCCATTACTCATAGTAACAGCCACATGTTCCTCAGACTTTTTTATCCAGAAAGCTTCAAGCTACTGAGTCAAGAAAAATTGTGTGATAATAAAGTCAAGAATAACTCCAGGCATCCCAACCATGGGGAATTGAATTGAATTCACCATCAATTATCTTTTTTTAAAAAATTGTGCTTATCTCATTATAGCTGGGTACAGTTTTTATCTTCTGCTAGAATACATTCCCAGCTTTAGAAATTTTAATGAAAAATAAAACCAACCTTCAGTTGTAAAGATGGACCTTAAAATTATTTGCCAGATGAAGACACATTGCTTTACCTAGAATGTCTACTTCTATCTTAATTCCTATGATGAGAGGAAAAGGTATACTTAATTTGTTTTTCATGCTATGAGAGTAATAAGTATTCATTGTAAAAAATATAGAAAGTACACAGAGAAACAAAGTGAAGATAAGGAACGTGTTCCTATCCAGAGAGAACCACTATTAATGTCTTTTAAAGAGAAAAGCAAAGAGGCATGGATAAATCTGTTTGTTTCTTAACAAAAATATGACATATTCTATAACTGTTTTGCAACCAGATTTTTTTATATAATAATGTAACACATAATAACAGGAATATCTTCCTAATTATGAAATATTTCTCCTAAAATACCATAACATTTTCAGTGACTGCATGGTATTCCCTTGTATGGTTTTTTCTGTAGTTTATTAATAAATCTCCCATTACTAGACCTTTAATTATTAACTAATTCTCACTATTATACATTATGTATTTGTAGAAATAGATGTTGGTATAGATAGGTAAGTAGTTAGGAAGAAAGCGTATTATAAACTATGTATAGCATGATACATCCATTCAAAGCTATTAAAAAAGTTATATAATTCCACACACAAATATAATAAAAGGATATACATAAATTTTTCATAGTAGTTGTCTTTGTCTGCTGGAATTGAAGGAGTTTTTAATTTTTATGTTCATTTTCATTTTCTACAATTTTATGTACCAGTTGTGTAATAAAAAGAAGAAAATAAAATGAGAAATGTAAAATCTATATGTGAGATATTATTATAGGTTTGTACCCCTCTTCAAAAAAATGCATAGAAAAAATACTACAAGGAACTATGTAAAATGTTAACAATGGTTGTCCCAGACTGCAGGGATTTTAGGGATTTTTATTCTTTATGTTTTGCCTCCAATTCCTCTCTTTCTCTGTATAGCAGTTTATCATTCCTACTATGAAAAATATAAGAGAAGAATTGCCTTGCAGTTGGGATGGGCTACATTCCAAAGCCCAGCAATAGAAAATAATCAGTATTAAAATTCACGGATTTGGGTTCTTCTAAGCCACCGTAGCTAATCTACTCTGATCTCTGATTAGTAGTTAATCAAATGACTGAATAAATATGGCCCATGTTTCGTCTTCTCAACCTAAAAAGCACGTCATTATGCAGGCTATATTCAGAGAGGGTAGGACCAGAAGAGTATAGATAGAAAATTCTAAATTCAACCCAACATCTGGGAAAGGCTTCTTCGCCTTCTGTCCCAGTACAAGCCGGGCTGAATGCACAAATCTTACACCTAGTAGACTTTACAAGCGTGCCAGCAGACATGACCAGCCCAAGTGATGCCCACATATTAGGAAACAGGGGCCCTTCTCTGTTAGAGTAGCCAAATTGTTGCAGGAAGCCCACTTCGTAACGTGCATTTCAGACCGCTGAGGACGAGGCATTTGCCAAGGGAGAGATGGAGGAGGGAGATGAGGGGCAAAGGAGCAAGGGAATCCTAATACAGGCAGGATACAGGGGTGGCTTTCCTCCCCTGACAGCCTTACAGAAAGGAAGTAAGACGTGCTGACATCATCATGGGATGAAACTCACACTGTCAGAGCAACATCTTATTATTGCAGAACAGTTGCCCAGTTTGCTAATTCTAACAACAGCTGCTATTTGTGAACCATTATTAGAAGTGCAACACTGGGCTAAACACTACATGCATTCTTTCGTTTAATCCTCAAAGAGCCCCATGAGGATGACACTGTGTTTCCCAATTTACATATAAAGAAACTGAGGCGTAGAGAAGTTAACTATCTCTATTTGTAAGATTGGAGTATTGAGGGCATACTTATACTAAAAAAATTACTCATATTTATGAAATTCAAACTTAATTGGCCACTCTGTACCTTTTCTCCTGCTTTATCTGCTACTGCCATTTGTCTATCACCCAAAGACTAGTTAGGCACCTACTGCATGTGAATCCCAGCCCTCGGCCACGTGGTGGCTGGCGTTGGAGTGGGGATGGGACCCAAGGTTGTCTGCTTCCAAAGCCACCCTGTGCAGGCACAGAGCAAGACACAGAGGAGCAGTCGAGTGTCTGCCATCCAGAAGAGAAGTTAGAACAAATAATGAACGCAGGATCTGATAAGAAAGGCCTACAAAGGCATGCAACCACAGACATGATCTGTTTGGCCCAAACATGTTTCCTTAAAAAATGGATTAACATATACACACTACTATATATATATAGAATAGATAACCAACAAGGACCTACTGTATAGCACAGGGAACTCTACTCAATATTTTGTAATAATCTGTAAGGGAAGAGAGTCTGAAAAAAGTATATATAGATATATAGATATATAGATATCTGTGTGTAATGTATGTACATATCTCTGAATCACTGTGCTGTACACCTGAAACTAACACGACATTGTAAATCAGCTATACTTCAATTTTTAAAAGATGGAATCAAAAGCCTGCAGGTGGGGCATGCCATCTCCAGCTGCCCCGATGCCCCACCCCCTTTCATTCATTCCCCGGGCACTGCCTACCTCTTGTAGGCATTGGAGTCCTCACCCCTGTTTTATTGCTGTAGAGAATGACAGGGGTCACCAAGTGGTGTAGAGTCCTGGGACAGTACGAAGCTGGGAAAGGTCATTTCCAGCTGGGGACTCAGAAAAGAGACCTGCAAGGGGAAAGCGTCTGGATGAATCTCCTCATTTTACTTCCCTGAGTACCGCTAACAAGATGCACTGTGTAAATGAGATGCATTCATTCATCCAACTCCTATTTCTTGAACATCCACTATGCCCCAGGCACTGTTGTAGGTGCTGGAGATACGGTGAGGAACAAGACAGACCGAATCCCTGCCTCCAATGATATTTAAATTACTGTGAGGGAGACGAGATAATTAAATTGCCAGAGAGTGAAACGTACTCTGAATAAAAATAAAGCAGGAAGAGGGGATACAGAACGGTGAGGAAAACATCTTTCTGTAGGTTGGTTAGGAAAGACCCCCTCTGAGGTTGGGACGTTAACAGAGGAGAGCAAAGTGAAGGAACAAATCTTGTGAAAAAGAGGGTAAAGGGCTTTCCTGGCAGAAGGAGCAGCTAGTGCAAAAGCCCTGAGGCTGGAGTGGGATTAACCTATGCAAGGAGCTGTAAGGAAACCGGGTGGCAGGAGCACAGGAAGTGACAGGGAGTGGGGTAGACGGTGAGATCATAAAGCGTGAGGACGCAGGGGTGCAGGTCACGGAGGGCCTTTCAGGTCATGCTAGGGACAGTGTTTAGTGAGGTGGGATGCTGAAATGAGGATAATAACTGGACCTACATCTCAGGGTTATTGTGAATATTAAGTAAATTCTCCATGGAAAGCGCTAACATGGTTACATCGTTAATTCTACATATGTTGCGACTACTCTTATTCAGTGTTCAGGATATATTATTATTGAATGATCCAATTTAAATGTAAGCTATAGATTTAACAGCCCATTGTCAGGGAAACCGTTTGTCTCAGCACAATAAATGTTTTCATTTTGAAACATGAGCTCTGCCTTCAGAGGCCTTGAGATTTATGCCCTGAAGCCCTTGACATGAGCCAGTTTCCCTAGCAGTCCCTTCCATCGTGACCTTCACCTCTCCCTGCAACCGCCCCCACCTGGGTCCCGCAAAAAAAAAAAAACAAAGACTCCTTTACCAGTTTCCTCTCACCGTCATTTTGATTTCCTCTGGTTGCCCTCCGCAGATAAAACTGTGAAGCTGTGGAAAGTCAGCGAGCGTGATAAGAGGCCAGAAGGCTACAATCTGAAAGATGAGGAGGGCCGGCTGCGGGATCCTGCCACCATCACCACCTTGCGGGTGAGCCCAACGGCTGGTTTTCCACCTTCTTTCAGTTTCCTTGGCAGCCAAGGTCAGGGGAAGTGGAGGGGAAGTTTGGCTGCCTGCTGGCTGCTGCTATAGGTTGCCCCTCTCAGGTGTGAGGGAGGGAGATCAAGCAGAGACCCCGCCTACCTGAGTCTCTGGTGGCAGGTGAAGGAACAAGACAAGCACCAACCTCTGATGACTATAAATCCACGTTTCCTTTTGCCCCTGAGGACTTGCCTGCAGGGTCCCTGCCATGCATTACTATGTTCTTAGCCTCTGTCTGTTTGCATCATCTAACATGTCTTGAGCACCTTCAAGGTACAGGCATGGAACTCCCCAGATAAGAAGTTGGAGTCTTGTGATTCGGAGCATGAACTTCTGAATCAAACAGGCCTGGGTTCAAATTCTGCCACTTACCAGACTGTCACATAGTCACTCCCTTTTTTGAACTTCATTCGTGCAAGTTATTTTTAGTTTTCCATCTGCAAAACAGTGAACCTAGTACCTTACTGTGTGTGGGCTTCTGAGGCTAAAATGCAGTGAGGATGAAAAGCCCTTATTCCATGGCTGGTACTCAAGAAGTGATCTCTACTATTAGTCTTGGTAGCTTCCTTCCTGCTGTCCAGAAAAGCACAGTCTGGTAAGGAAAGAGGATGGGTAGGACTAATATGCAAATGTTTATGACAGTAACTAGAGTAAGATAAATGCAATGAGAGTCAGAGAGTTGCAGTTTGATCGAAGGAGGGAGAAATTATATTTGGTTCTGGGAGATTGGGATATGTCTGTTAGGGAAATGGTGTTAGAAATGGATTTCTAAAAGCAGACTTTTAAAGGAAGGCTCTCTAGATAGAGATTAAAATGATTTAGGACTGGGTGATCAGTTTAGTTTTGGAGTGTTCATTGTGAACGGTAAAGCCGGGCACATGTTGGGACCAGCCCTGGCCCCTAGCCACTTTCAGAACTGGGTAAAATATGTGCTTTCGGATGCCAGCAGCTCTACTGAAAACCAAAAACTGCGAAGAGACACAGAAGTATCAATACCTGTGGGGAAAAGAGGCTGTTGTCCTACGTTTAGAGGCAAATGTGGGAATTGAATGATCATCGTGTTCCTGATTAGCTGGCTTGTTGGTTCGTTCATTCATTCATTCATTCATTTGTTCATCTGTTTATTCAGCAGATGCTTTTTGAGCACAGACTCTTTGCGGCCCATAATGCTAGGCTGTCGTGTGTGTACCCAGTAGTAATGGGTACCTGGTCTTCTACTGAGCTTCTTCTGGGCCAACAAGCATTGGCTGCTCTGTTTCCTCTCGTCCGCCTATGCCTTCAACCTGGAGGACAAGTCTGATAAGGTACAAGTTTACCTTATCAGACTGGGTCGATGCTCTAAATGCTCAGAGGTTTTGAGACTGGAGGACAGAACAGTGAAGGGTATGAACATTGAGTCATTCTGTCCTGGGTTAGAATTCTGGCTCCATTCCTTTCTGGATGGTGGCCTTGGACACATTACTTAAAGTCCTTGTGCCTCCCATGTCACATCTGCACAACAGGGATGAGGGATGGCCGGTACTTCCTGGGATTGTTGTGAGGATTCAGTACAGCATTGTGTGTGATGCAGAGCTTAGCCTGTGTAGTGTCTCACTCAGAGAAAGCACTCAGCGATATTAGGTCCTGCTGATGGTTTTTAGTCTTACTCTCGTCATCATCATTTTCATGACACTTATTACCCCCTAGTGATAGTAAGCCTCTGTGTTTGAGAAAATTCCCGTTTTTGTATTCACTCCTCAAGCTGTTCACTGATGTCTACCAAGTGGCAAGCACAGTGCTGGTGATACAAAAGGAACAAGATAGTCTTAGAAAACCCCAGTTCTGCTTCTTGCGTCCTTATTAACCATCTGTGCCCCTGGGCCAGTGAATCTCATTTCTTCTCTCCGTGCTTAGTTTCTAAGCAACTGAGCAGAGGACTGGACAAAGTCAGTGGTTCTGCAATCATGGGTGCCAGTTACAAATGCAGATTCCCAGGACGCAGCCTCAGTGATTCTCTTCAGCAAGTTGGGTGGTCCAGAGGGATCTGCATTTTTATCCTGAGCCCCTGGTGATTGAGACAAAGGGATCTGTTATCCCTGGACTCTTATCATCTCTAAGGCTCCTCCACGCTCTGGTTTTTATGAGCCTCTGTTACTTTTCAGTCATTTCAAGTTACTGTACCAGCTCATGAGACACATTTGCTATCATATTGTAAAACTCGTATCTGATTTCATCTCGTCTACCTTCCTAGGCTTTCAAGTATCCTCATTTCAGCGTAAACATCCACACTCCAGTGTTCTTTCAGTGCAAACACTGAAAAGGCCAGCCTGCCTTCTTTTTGATCCCAGTGGTAGAAGAACCAGGCAACCCTGAAAACCGTAATTTCAGAACAATGACTCCAAACAGAGAATGAGCTGATGTGATATCAGACCATAATTTACTAACATGCTCTGCTCTTGACATTTGCATCGCCAGCAATTGTGGTTTTTTTTTTCCTTCCCTGTACTATGATTACCTCTCGTACACTTTCATAGTTTCCAGTTCTACGTGTCCTGAGAGTGAGAATGTTTAATAATACCCAACAGCTAATTAATCCTCACTGAGTAATGAACCTGTTCTGTTTCAGTGCTGGGAGGTTCAGCTTTTCAAAGTACGAATGTGGTTGTTTTTTTTCCTTTTTTCATGCAAGGTAGCCTTTCAAATCCAATCACTCATTACCCAGAGAGACTTTGAGAAGCACTTCTATGGACACTACATCTCCTGCTTAATATTATAACATTCAAAGCAATAATCGTGATGATAGTTTAATTATAACACCTTATAAGCTGTAAAATACCTTTTTTTTTTTTTGCGGTACGCAGGCCTCTCCCTGTT